TCTTCTTTCTTCCCAGCAGAACTTCAGCATTGCCTCCACTCGGCTGCTGGAGCCAGCAGGCAGCCCTGCTCTGGTTGGATATCGTGTGATCCCACAGGTCCTCTTGCTACTCTTGCCTTCTGGTCAGTCAAAGCATACCTGCAAACCTCTCTCCATTCCAAGGGTGCATATCACAGCTTGCTTTCCCTGTGAAACCAGACAGGGGACAGAAAATAATGACTTTTTCTGAGACATGCTTCCTCCTGAGGTCTAGCAAATCATGCAAGCGTGTTGCGGTCCACCCATCTCATGCAGAAACACGTGGAGCTAAAAGTATGGGTTTTTTTAGGGAATAAAGCAAACATTTGGAACGGTGAGATGAGAGGGAAGGAAAAAAGTCAGGGAGGGAAGGGAAACATTCATGAAACAGTGCAAAAACCTCCACATTTCTCAGCATTAGTGTATCCGTTGCAGCCACTCCTTAGTATTTTTAAGCAATCTGTGAGAGTGAAGTTAATCATTCAGACAAGAGCAATACTTGCAGTTTTTCCAGAGGGATATCATGTTTTCAGAGCATTTCCAAGCACTTGTGCTGCTCAGATTCCAAAGGTTGGCATTTCCATCTCTCTGAAGGAAGCAATTACCCCTGCAGTTGATCTGCAGTATCTTTTCTACCATATAGAAACACAATTGCTGTAGTGAGTCTGGCTCCAAGTGAACTCTTGCTAACTTTTAAGTCCCTGCAAAACTTTCCAGGCTCTGACATCTTGCTTTTCCAGGTGTGTTTGCTTATTTTTTCAGTAATTAGCCTGAAGCTGAGCTGAGCCACAGAACTGCACTTTCTGTGCCATTCTGGGTCTTTCAACTCCTGCTGCCACAAATAAATAACTGTGTTCAGTGTAAGAGATACTGAAGTATGGAAGCACTGCCAGTGTCCACGCATCTCATTCTGTGATCAAGCAGATTTGATCATGGTTTGGTCTCTGGAATGGACGTTTGCTCTGATATGTGTGCCTGTAGCAATAGGTGAAGCTGGTATGTGATATGTGAACCTGCAGGTGTCTAAGAGGAGATTGATGTTTATCCCAATGATGGGGAATTGGTCTCAAAGAGCCTCTTATAAGCATGTGCAAATAGACAGCCCTGCATCCCAGAATATCAATAATGAGCTTTATTCCTTGTTATCTTTCCTTAATAATCTTCTGACTTTAGCTGCTTACTGGGCACGATGGATACTGGCAATGGAATTTATTTAAAACAACTGTGCTGCCTGCCTCTCCTCACTTCCTGGGCCAATCTGATAACTGTGTCTATGAAAAGCATCAGCTCATGATTACTGCTGCTGGCACTCTGTGCATCTCCTGCTCGTTATGGGGATCTCCTCCAGCCAGTCACCTGCATCACTTATTATGTCCCTGAATGTGGCTTCCACTGACGAAGATTTCTTGGCTTGTATGAACCACCCTAGCACTCTTTTGCTGCAGAGCCTGGTGTCAGGCAGCAGTTCTGCTTCTAAGAATGCGTGGAAAGTGAATAAATGCTGAAATCTGACCTTCTAAAAGCCTGTGCTCGTCCCAAAGAAGTCAAAATCCCCTTTTCAAAAGCTGTGACTCAGATCCATCAAAGTCCAAAGCTTCTTGGATTCAACAAGAAGTCAGGCACCCAGTTTGAGCCTTCCCCTGCTAAGAAATACGGACCAAACTCAGCACTTGGCCTTCCAAATTCCCATTTAAGATTCAGAGGATTGGTTTCCACCAGGGAAGTCTCCCCACGTACCTGGTTTTCTGCTAGTCTGAGTAACCACCCCTCCCCAGGAGCATCACGTAACTGTACCAGGAGTATCTATATTCTCCTCGATGCTACCCCACATGTTTCCCACCTGGGTACAGAACAGACCTGAGCCAGGAGCATCTCATGAAGGAGATCTGTTGGTGTTGGGGCGCATCAGACATTTTGACGCCAAATCTGAGACGCGGTAAAGCTCCTTTCACCTTCAGACTTCTAGATGGCGGAAAGAAAACTAAGAAGAAAGAAAAAAAAAGAAGGAAGGAGATAAAAATAAATAATAAAGGGGCAGAAACCTCCCGAAGCAGCCGGGTTCGCAGTCACTGTTGGGAAAAACCCCTTGGATTCGGGGCGCGGTGCGCAGTGCGCAGCGCCAGATGGCGCTGCCTCCAAGGGAACGGCTCTGCTCCGCCGCCCCCGAGCTGAGCCCCGCATCGCCCCCGGGTCCCTCCTCACCGTCACACGGAGACCCAGCCGTATACAAGCGACAAGGCTGTAGATTTACACATGCAGCTCCGTGGCAGCCCTAAGAGGCTGGGAGGAAACACTTGGAGATGAGCGGAGGGAAGTGGAGAAGCTACCAACCAACGTGTCTTGCTGGCCGAGTGCTCTGCCATGGCACGGCCTGGCCATGCTGCAGCATGTCTGGGGGGGACACTTCTATATCCCCTGAGCTGCTGGTACATCTAGTGCCAAATCTGGTGAGAAAAACCAGGCTCTGATTCTTGATGTGCTCCAAAAGTGCAGCGCAGCAGTGAGCAAATTGCCGCTACTGAACGGAGCCATGTCAGCTAGCCACAGCTCAGATCTGGGCAGGGGGAGGTTGTTACGTGAGCAAATCCTGTATTTCTGAGCAAGCCTATTCCTCCCGTCCTCTTTCAGGGCTCCAGCAGCGTTTGTGAACAAGCTTGTTCCTCCTCACCACCCAGCAGAGCTCTCCTGCTCACACAAACACAAGCACAGAGCTTGTACAAAGGGTCTGGTTGGGATAACAGCTAGAATTTTGCCATCCCCTGGAACAACAGGGGAAAAAGCGGGCTCGTCTTGTGCAGAGCAAGGGCTGGGAGCAGGAGCCTGCAGGATTTCACCCTCTCCTCCCTGCTGTAGGTGTCGGAGATGGAGAGCTGCCTGTTTAGACTGCGCTCACTGGCTTGAGGAATATGTGGCGTCCACGGTATGCAGTGGTTCTGTTTTTCCAGGTTTAGTGGCGTGGGGTAAGGGGAACCGAAGGGAGGGAGGGAAATGAATCACAGAAACCTTTGTTGGGGACCAGATATCAAACCCTGCTCGGGTGGATTGCGAGGTGTCTGCCTGCCCTTCCCAACCCTGCAGACAGCAAGCTGTGAGCAGATCGATAAGGTGCCCGAGTCCAAAGTGAATCTGAAGGATGAGAAAGAATCTTAGAAGTGATAGTGAGATACCAAGGAAGGAAGAACCACTTGGCAGGGACTGAACTCCTAACCCTGAGCCTTTATCTCGGCCACACCTAGCACAGATATGTGCATCAGGAGTTGAACCCCAGCCTTCAGCTCGCACATGGAGATGGTAACAGCATGGCTCAACTCCAGCAGGGATGGCCAACACACGACGGAGAGAAGGATTGGTCCACAAAGGCACAAAAACAGGGGAACCCCAATAAGGATTGCAAGTTGAGTGCTGCTCCCTTAATCATAACTACCCTTGGAAAAAAAAAAAACACCCCCAAATTAATTAAACTTCCCAGAGAAAGGCCTCCAGTAACTCATCAAACCCTTCCCACCTGCCTTAATTAGAAAGCTTTCGTGTGTGCGTGCGGCTAACTTTGCTTTTAATTAAACTCATTACACAATGCCCGGCTCATTAGTGCGCCGTAACCTAATTTGCCTGGATGAAGATGGCCATACACAACTGAGCAATCAAATTAATTTGTATACATCTACTCCCACACATGTGCTGTTGGTAGCATGCACTGATACGGGGCGCCTTGGCCTACGGAGGTGGTTGAAGCAGAATGTCTGGAGTTGGGCACATCCTCTAACAAATAAACCTGAACCCTTTGCAGTAAGTTGAGTGCTCGGCCCATGGATTTGTGCTTGGATTTAGGTGAACACCAGCCCCCAGTTACCTGCTTTGATTTTATATGTTTTATATCTTCTATGGCGAGGAAAGGACGCAGAAAGCTGCCCTGGACTCCATAGGGTCCAGCTGGGAGGAGGAGAAGAAGAAGAAGAGCTGAGGGCTGTGACCCTACTAAGAGGCTCAGAGCCATCGCCTTTCACTTTTTCCTTGGGCAAAACCATGAAAAGATACAGACGACAAAGAAGAAAAAGAAAAGCTATAATAATCACCTCCAGCTTTCCTCCCTCCTCGCTCCATCTCAAACAGGGAAACTCCGGGACCCGCCGAGCGGCGCAGCCAAAACCAAGAGAAGCCCTTTCAAGCCTTCACCAAAAAGGGACTTTTTTTTTTTTTGGTGCCCCAAACACAGGGAGCCCAAAGACTCCTCAGATAGAACTCGGCGTCTCACACCGCATTGCTCGTTTATTTGCTGCTCATACAGTCGTGAAGCCCACATACAAAGACCATACATGTTTTATTTCGGTTCGATTCTTTTTTTGTTTTTTTCCTCTCTCTTTTTTTTTTTTTCCCTCTAGGGACAAAACGTACACAAAAGGGCCAAAAAAAAAAAAAAAATCCAAAATAATAAAATAGAACACAAAACCAACCACATCATTACAGTTTTATACAGTGCAGAAAGGAATTAAAATAGGTGACACCGAACTGTACAAAGTCAGGGCAAAAAAAAAAAAAAAATAGTGGGGGAACAGGGGGGGGGGATAATCCTTCATTATATATATATTTCTATAAAAACATATGGAGGATTGTCTTTACACAGAGACCGGGGTCGGTTTAAAATTTACAGAGGTTAACTAAAAAAAAAACAACAACGACAACAAAACCCAACATCTATATGGCAAATATTGCCAACAGAGCTCCACCGCTTTAATACTGATCAACTGAGACTCCTCGTGTCTCCATTATTAGCGACGACGACGACGACAATGTAGAATAAATAACAGAAGGAGCGTGGCTGTCTCTTTTCAAAGTGCCTTTTTCTCTCTGCATAGGGTCCGGTCCTGCAGTCTTTACGCAGGTCAAAAAAATAAAAAAATAAAAAAATAAAAAATTAAAGAAAAAAAAATCAATGGCTAAAAATTAAAAATAAAAATGTGATCCCTCTTAGAGATTTTTGACCAAAAAAAAAAAAAAAAAAAAAAATTAAAAAAAGATTATTTTCAGGAGTAAGGGCTCGATGGGAGCGAAGGGCCGGAGCAGCGCTGCTCTGTTGTGCTCGGGGTGCTCACAGCATCCCCTCCGGCTCTGCCCCCGGTGGATGGGGCTGCGGCATCGCTCTCACTTAGAGAATTGATTCAGAACGCTTCGCTTGCGATTTCTTTTCTCTTTTCAAGGGTAGAACCCGAAAAACCTCACGTAGCAAAACCTTTCAACCCAAACTCGCAGTCGGAGATTTCAAGATAAAGGGGCAGCGGAGGGTTTTCGGGGGGCTGCTTGTTTTTTTGTTTTCCTCCCCCTTCTTCCCCTCTCTCTTCCAGCCTACCCCGACCCAACAGAAGAAGCAGAAGAAGGCAGAGAGCGTCTTTGATTAAAGACACGTGGTGGAGGCCGGCCCGGCCGATGCTCAGCTGCGGGGCGCGCTCAGCCCCGGGGCCGCCCGCATTCGGCCTCGCCGCACTCAGCTGTCCGCTCCCCGGGGGTCCCATCCACGGGGACAAAGTCTGCAGAACCCCCCCCCCAAACACACACACGCTCCTCTTTCCTCCTCCCACAGGGTCCTGGGTGGGAATGGGGGTCGTTCCCCGGGTCAGACCTCGGCGGCCTCCGGGAGGTGATGGTGGCTTTTCCGCCCCGTCTCACATAACGCACGGCTTGATGTCCTGGTATGTCACTTGTTGGTGGTAATAGGAGCCGCTGCCCGCTGAATGCATGGAGGAGGAGGCCATAGCGTTGAAAGAGAAGACGAATTCCTTTCTGTCGCACATGCTCGGAGACTGGGAGTGATACCGCGGGATACCTGCGGGACGGAGAGAGAAAACGATCAGCCATCATCATTATATTTACCAAAAAAAAAAAACACCAAAAACAAACAAACAAACAAAAAAAAAAAACAAAAAACAACAGCAAAAAAGTCGAGCGTTGGGGTGAAGGAGATATCGGGAGGGGAACACCCGGCCGCCCGCGAATCGAGGTTTCGTTGCACTCCCATCTCTCCTAGAAAATGCGGGCAGGTGCCGGAGAAAAGCCCGCAGCTCCGACCCCGCACGGCCTAAGGACATTTCGTTTTGGTTTTGTTTTTCCTCGGTATTTGTATTCGTTGCGCCTGCGCGCAATCCCCGCAGGGTGCGGAGCGGAGTTATTCGGCCGCTCCCGAGCGGACCCGGCCGGCACAGATTGGGCGGAGGGACCGAAACAGCCCATGAAACCCCCCCGCTATTTCCGCAGTCACTTCGGGACGGGAAAAAGGCCCCAAAAAATCGAGACTGCGCTCAAGAGGAGCCGCGCAAATCCTCTCCGGGCTCAGGAAGAGCCGCGTTCATTTTTTGGGTGTTGATTTGAGACGTTTCGGGCTGGCCTGGGAGATCCTTTAGGACTGATTTTTTTGCTTCATTTCTCAGCGAAATTAGCGTGCTGATCCGCGGTTTATTGGCGGAATGGGGCCGAGGTGGAGGCGGCGGGTCCCGGCTGCATTCCGCTGCCCTCGGCCCGGTTCGGCCCTGCGCCGAGCTGCGCCTTTCCGCCCTGCCTTCGTGCTTCTTTCCCACCACCGCTCCGCTCTACACCGTTTCTGCGGGTCTTTCCCTCTTTTAGAAACCGGGGGCCAAACGCAGCCACCCCAAACTCTTCCTTTCGACCGCCCCGAAGCGATGCGGAGCGCTCCCCGCGTCCCTAGAGCCTCCCCGGGCCCCGAGGTGAACTTGGGCCGTAGTATCAATCCCAGCTCCGAGCTCCCCGTCCTTCCACAGGCTCAGAGCCCGTCGGTCCGACGGCGGCCCGGACACCGCCGTATCCCCGAATAGCGGCACAGAAGAGCCGTAGGACGCGGGGACGCCCCGCCACCGACTTCTCACAGGCGGAGGGAAGTGAAAGGCCTGGAAAAGCCTGAGAGGAGCGGATTGCTGCGGTGTGAGGCCGGAGGGACGGGGGGGGATGGTTAAGGATACGGGCAGCGGCTGCTCCCGTTAAATAAAACCCCCGCTTCGCTGGGAGCCTCTTCGAAGAGCCCTGCGGTAGCCTCTATCGATACCCTTTCCTCCTTGTTCCGCCACCTCCTATTTACTCTGAACCCCCAGAACCCGTTCCCCGGCCTCCCCTTTCCGCATCCACCGGCATAAGGAGCATCCACGCGGGACGCGGCAGCTCCCAGCCCCGCAACAACGACGGTGCGAACCCCGACGGTGCGAACCGCCGCATCCTCTGGCAAAGAGTGAAAGGACCGCTGCTTCCCCTCTGAGGGAGCTGCTGTTAAACCAATCCCCGGGGCCGGTGGCCGCGGATTCCCCCCCGCTTCCATCCCCTCAGAGTTCTCTCGCACGCGTCCGCGCCTCACCTTGAAGCTCGGCGGTGTTGTGGCTGTTCTGATGCAAGTAGGGCTGATCGAGGGAATGTGTAGAAAGGCTGGAGGACAGCGGGTTGGCCGCGGGGTTGCAAGGCGACAGCGGCTGCTGCTTGATGTAGGAAGCTCCCGTGTTTAAGGCGGCCGAAGCGGAGGGAGCCCACGCAGAGGCCGAGCTGGAATAAACCGAGTGCGGTTCCATCACCCCTCCGCCGGGCAGCAGCGGGGAGGCGGGCACGGAGCTCTCGTGGTGAGGGTAATCCCCCGCCGAGGAGCCGCTGCAGCTGCCCATATAGGAGTGCCCGCCGTTGGAGGGCAGGTGGGGCACGGAGTGTCCCGCAAGGCCCATCCCGTCCACGTTGCCGGCTAAGTGGCCGTTCATCATGCCCAAACCCCCTTCGAGGGAAAGGCTGTTGGGAGGGCATGAGAGCCCTCCGGCCGAGCCCTGGAAGCTGTAGCTGTCGGGGAGGTGGTTGAAGCTGAGCCCGTTCATCATGCTGTACATGGGCTTCAGCGCTTGGCATTTCCTCCTGAAGCCGCGGGGCCGGCGGCGGAACGAGCCCTCCTCAAACATGAACTCGCTGGCCGGGTCGATGGTCCAGTAGTGGCCCTTACCCGGGCGGCCCAACCCCTTGGGCAGCTTAATGAAGCATTCGTTGAGCGAGAGGTTGTGGCGAACGGAGTTTTTCCAGCCCTGGTAAGAACCGCGGAAGAAAGGGAAGCGGCTCTGTAAGAACTGATAGATCTCGCTGAGGGTCAGCCGTTTGGAGGGCGAGCTCTGGATGGCCATGACGATGAGAGCGATGTAGGAATAGGGCGGTTTCTCCGGCCGCCGGATCCCCGCGTTGGTTTTCTTCGCTTTAGGGCCGCCGCTACCCGGGGCTCCGCCGCTGCCCGGAGCGCTGTTGCCGCCCGGCCCGGAGGGAGCGGCGGAGGCGGCGTCCATGGCCGAGTTTTGCGGCTGCTTCTCGGCCACGGAGGACATGGGGCCGTAGCTGCTGTGCACAGCGGGAGGAGGGGGCTGAGAGGACAGAGCCTGCTGCGCTTCTGCAGTCATCTACGGGCAGCTCCGCGGCGGCCAGCCCCGGCCCTCCTCCGCCACCCCCCCCCACGCGCCCCCCCAAAAGGCCACCGCACTGCTGGGGGCTCGCCGCGATCCCCCCCGACCCTCCTCCTCCTCTTCCTCCTCCTCTCGGCCCCCGGTAGGGTTTGTTTCCACCGGGAGCCTTCACCCCTCAGAGGATAAACAAATGGCAGCGACCCCCCCCCCAACCCCTGTTTCCCTCCTTCTCCTCCTCCTCCTCCTCCCACTTTATCCCTAAATCCGAGCTCGGCTGCAGAAGGGGGGCCGCGGGGGGGAAAGCTGCCCTCGGCTGCCGCGAGGAAAAGCGGGCGGCCTCCTTCCGTCCCGCTCCGTGCTCCGGGACCGTCCGCGTCCCGCCGGGCCCCCCACCTCTAATAGGGCCGGCGCTGCGGGGAGCTGCTTCCCATCGCTGTGGCTGTCGAGTCTGCCCCCGGCCCTCCGCTCGCCTTTTGCTTTATCTCTCTCCGCGGCGTCTGCCGCTCCTTTGACAGACGTAAGAACGGAGAGGAACTCCCCGCCCCGAGCGGCTCCCCCACGCCCTCCCGGGCGGCCCCCTCGGCCCTCCTGTCCCGGCCCCTCTCTGCAGCTCCGCAGCTTTTAAAGAGCCCTTTCCACGCAACGCTCCGCATCCTTGCCCACCTCCGGAGGGGGCGGGGGGGGGGGGGGGGAAGGCACGCGTGACCGCTACCGAGCGTGGGGTCCCGACACCCACCCTCCTCCTGCCCCCTTCTCCCCCCCCGTTCCCCGCACTGCTTCTGTTGGAAACCACCGGGATGGGGAGCGCCCCACGCGGAGGGGCCTCCGGGCAGCGCGGAACATCCGCGGCCGAGCAGTAGAGAGGAGGCGCAGCCCCGGCTTCGGTGTCCGCTCAGCTCGGAGCTTCACCCACTTAAACCCCCTCTTGGTGCGCTCTTTTAAGCTCGGCGGGCCCGGGCAGGATGTTTATACTGAGCAATGTAAACACGGGCTCGGGGGTGCTTTAATAAAAAGAAATCGGCGAAAACTCCCTCTGCCTCTCGAAATGCCCTTTTCTGCCTCTGCCGCCGGTCCGGGAACGGGCTTCGGTTCCTTCTCCTGCTCCGAGGTTTCTTTAGGGCTCTTTCGCTTTCTTTCCTTTTTTTTTTTTTTTTTTTTTTTTTT